GGGCCTCTTAATCTTTTAAAGGAAAAGTTACTTTCTGCCAGTGGAAATTCATTAGACCTTTCACAGTATGTTTCGGACTTTCGAACAAAATTGTCTAAAGCATGCGAATTAGCCAAAGCAAACCTTCAGTCGGCCCAAAAATGCATGAAGAATCAGTACGACAAAAATTGTGTCAGTCGTACATTTCAGCCGGGTGATAAGGTTCTTGCGTTACTTCCTGTCCCTGGAAATACACTTCAGGCACGGTATTTTGGCCCCTACCTCGTAGAAAAGAAAGAGAATGATTTAAATTATGTCATAGTTACCCCCGATAGACGTAAGAATAAGCAGTTATGTCATGTAAATATGCTAAAATCATATTATGAGAGAAAGAATGGTGTGCAGGTAGTTAACGTCATAGATGTAGAAAATAATAATATAGAAGATACAACCGAACTCTTCAATCTGTCTGAGTCAACTAAACTCCATAACTCTGATGTTCTTCGCGATATGGATACAAAGTTAAGCCACCTAAGTGAATCTCAACGAAGAGACATCGAAGTTTTAGTACAGGAATACCAATGCTTATTTCCAGACGTACCCTCCAGGACAGACCATATTGCCCACGACGTAGAGATCAACGATGCGCCACCTATCAAACAACACCCATACCGTCTAAACCCAACGAAGCAAAAACACCTCGAAGCAGAAATCGAGTACCTCCTCGAGAATGATTTCATCGAACCAAGCCAAAGTAGCTGGAGTTCACCTTGTTTGTTAGTTCCCAAACCTGATGGTAGTTATAGGATGTGCACGGACTATAGAAAACTTAATAATGTGACGAAGGCGGATACGTATCCCATTCCGCGGATTGATGATTGTGTTGACAAAATTGGAACTGCAAAATACGTCTCCAAGTTTGATTTATTGAAAGGTTTCTGGCAGATTCCACTTACTGAACGTGCGAAAGAGGTCTCAGCATTCGTGACTCCGAAAGGTCTCTACCAATATAAAGTGATGCCTTTTGGCATGCGTAATTCGCCAGCGACCTTCCAACGGCTGATAAATAATGTTATCGCGGAGGTCGAAGGCTGCGAAGGTTACATTGACGACGTAATAATATACAGTGATACGTGGGAAGAACATTTGAAGATTATGCGGAAATTCTTTACACGACTCAGCGACGCAAAGCTAACGATCAATTTATTAAAGAGTGAGTTTGGATGTGGTCATGTCACCTACTTAGGACATATCGTCGGGCAAGGTCAAGTGAAGCCTGTCGAAGCAAAGGTCGAAGCCATCTCGATGTTTCCTCAACCGGCGTCGAAAAAACACGTGATGCGTTTTCTCGGTATGGCAGGTTATTACCGAAAGTTCTGCCCAAATTTTTCTGCTATCACGGAGCCTTTAACTCGGTTGCTGCAAAAGAACGCCAAGTTTCATTGGACTGAACAATGCCAGTTTGCTTTTGAGCAACTCAAGGCAATGTTGCAACGTGCTCCTGTTTTGTCTGCACCTGACTTCACACGCCCATTCAAGTTAGCTGTTGATGCAAGTGATGTTGCAGCTGGTGGTGTATTACTCCAAGAAGACCAAGATGGAATTGACCATCCGGTATGTTATTTTTCAAGAAAATTCAATAAAAATCAGAAAAATTATTCCACCATTGAAAAAGAATGTCTTGCCCTTATCCTCGTCCTGCAACACTTTAATGTTTATGTTTCCTCCCCCGAAGTTCCCCTCATCGTGTACACTGACCACAATCCCCTTGTGTTCCTCCACAAGTTAAAGGATAATAATCAACGTTTGTTGCGATGGAGCTTGATTCTTTCTGAGTACAATATGGTCATAAACCATATCAAAGGACGAGATAACTTGATCGCGGACTGTCTCTCAAGACCATGAACATATTCCATGAGAACTTGAAAGAAAGTCTATCAACTTTCTTTTCTTCAAGGAGGAGGGTGTTACATGATAGCAATTATCATGTATATTTTATAACATTTTATATTATATATTAATACATTTTACTATATATATTATATATATCCTAGTTTAGTTATATTATATTTACTCTACAGAATTTACCTATGGGAAATTGTTTTAGCTTAGTCATGCATGAGCATGCAAATATTTTAGTTTATTACGTTACCACAAGTGCGTAATGGACGGGAACGGTTACCGCAAGAAGATTGTAAAAATCTTCCCACGAAATGACACTGCAAGAATAAAACGTTCCTCTCTGAACATATATAAGGGAGAGCACAACTCTTATGCATTATTCATTCAATAGGCCTCAGCGCCTCAGTTACATTATTCATAGGCCTTAGCGCCTTACGTGAATATCATTTTGGAAAAGCTATTATAAAGAAGATTGTTAAGGAAAGATTGTTACAAGTTATATACGAAAGAGTATTGAAGTTAAAAAGCGACGTTACGTGAAGAAGACGAAAGAGTTGTGCTCAGTCAGACAGAAAAGAGATAAGTTGAACTGATATAGTTTTAATTATATAGTAATTGGATATAGTATTATAAAGACGCTACTTATAGCAAGTTAAAGAAATAAATAGTTATTATATAAACGTAACTGACTCACACTGATTCTTTGTTGCGAGAGAAATCGAACCAAAACGCGGGAAATATTAATATTAAGGACCACGCTCGTAACAATATCGAAATTGAAAATTACAGACCAATATCGGTTTTGAAATGTTTTTCAAAATTACTAGAAAAACTTATGTACAAACGACTATTTAACTACGTGGAAAAACATAACATATCAAATCATCAGTATGGTTTTCGAAGAAATAGATCTACAGAAGGACGCCTTACTAAATCTAACCGACAAGATTTCAAACGCTTTAGACCAAGGTAAATACACAATAGGAGTTTTCCTTGACCTTTCTGAGGCCTTTGATACAGTAAACCATGAAATTCTCTTCTCCAAACTACAACACTATGGGATCAGAGAAACATATCTACAATGGTTTATGAATTATTTAAATGGAAGTACTCAAATAGTAAAAGTTAAACAGCATAGGTCATCTGGAATGAATGTTACTACAGGAGTCCCACAGGGTTCAATTCTTGGTCCATTATTATTTCTTTTATACATTAATGACATTGAGAACTGTAGTGATATTATTTCTTTCGTTTTATATGCTGATGATACAAATGCTTTCTATTCAAATTTGTGCTAGAGAACATTATCTAGTACTATACAAAATGAACTTGATAAGGTAGTTCAATGGCTCAATGCAAATAAATTATCAATCAATGCATCCAAAACAAAGTGTAATTTTTAAGTGCAAAAATAAATCACTGGATTCACAGATAACAATAAAAATAAATAATGATATAATTAAACAGGTGCCTTCCGTAAAGTTCTTAGGTGTCACTATTGATCAAAAGTTGACATGGACTAACCACATCAACTCAGTTTTAAAAAGCACAACTAAATCTACAGGTATGATTGCTAAATTAAGACATTATACAAATAAAAACACTTTGAAATTGATTTACTATGCATTGGTCTATCCATACCTTACGTACGGAAATCTAGTTTGGGGTAATACATATCCAACAAGATTACAGAAGTTATTAAAGATACAAAAGAAAATTGTCCGACTAATGCATTTTAAATCTTATACACATCATTCAGAACCTTTACTTTTTAATCTTAAAATCTTGAATATCTACAAAATTAATGATCATCTTTGCAGTCTATTTGTGTATCGCTGCATGAATTATGATCAAAATTTGCCAAACCTTTACAACTGTCACTTTATTCAAAATAAAGAATTGCATAATTATAATACGCAAAACTCTTCAAAATTACACATTATCATGTTCACACTGTTTTTAACAAGGGAATTTCTATATGGAATTGTATACATATCGACACCATCTTGTCCTATAGTTATGTCCTTGTCTTAAAGTTTATATAGTTAAAATCTCTTTGAATTGTATTAACTTGGAAAACTAGCTAGGCAATCACGAAGATTTTCTTAAACGTGGAAGCTTCCACGCTAAGAACACAAAATGAGTATTTAATTTTATCAGAGTATATAGTTGGTTTCATGATAGCGTCTGCCATTTTGAAAATTTAGAAAACAAAATGGATTTTAATCAAACTGTGCATGTGATATTTGATCCCAAGAGTATGCATAAAAAACATTTTTCAATGGTGAAAAACTTATTAATCCTACTTTCAAAATACAAGTAGGGCAAAGATCAAATAGATTTTAATGGAATGTCGTTGTTGTACCATTAAAATGTTTATAAACTAGTCCTGAGATCGAAATGACATCAAGTAAGATTATTATTCATCATAATTTGCCCTGCTTTAAAAATGGCTGCCACTGTCATGAAACCTACTATGAAGTACTATATACTGTATGTACCTATAATTGCCTCAGCATTTAAATTCACTGCTGGTTCCCAATTGCACCACATCAGCCAACCTTTCCATTTTACTAAATATTCAACTCCCTGGCAATATGAAGAAAGGTACATTATTAATTTTAAACTCAAGGTTTTTTCTGGTAAAGATGAGTTGCTTGCTATATTAAGTTCATATATTTAACTTTGCATAGCAAATTTGAAATCTGAAAAGGTTCTAGAAGGTCTCTAGTCAAAGACCATTAACAAATTATTGTTACTATTCTAATTTGCTCTACATAGGCTGACAAAAGGAAATAATTATTCAAAACAGTCAGTCACTAATTTAAATCCTATATTAAAATAACCTTACCTCTTTAGTTTCTCTGGTGGAAATCACTCTCTCAACATCGTACATTTCCCTGGCAACTCTATTCACTTTTTTTCTTTTTCTGTTGTATGATATCAGCTGTGCTTAACTCATTCAATTCCTTATAATTGATTTGACGTTTCCTTGTTGTTCTTCCTGAAACGGCCGCCATTTTGAAATCACACTTGAAGCGTGCATGCTCAAACAGATTTGGGGAATAACGCAATGCCTAATGTATCGCAGCAGCAAAATGTCTTAGATTTCTGGTAATGCCAATCAAATTTCTTGTAACATCTGATTTTTCGCCTTTGGCACCATAATGAGAACGATCTATTACTGAAACTGTCGTAAATATGCCGCGTTTGTTGAGTACTTTTTCTGTTTAAATATTCAACAATATATAACTATACAATGTGGTCATTAAAATGTTAGGAGGTTTAAATTGTACTTCTAAGATTTCAAGTCTATGTGTAGTTAAACATAAGTATATGAGAATTACCATACCTTCCAAAGTTGACATTATCTTTCTCACATCTTTACTCAACTTATTCACGTAATACACTCACTTCAGTGCGATTTACTTGCGCTTGGCCCTGGCTACTCTCCTCGTTTGTTGTAGCTACGGGTGTTATATTGCTGATCTTCCCTGACATCTTATGCAATACCGCAAAGGATCTCATGGGGGAGCCCGAATGAAGCCCATATACCCATGTTGTCACACTTTATGTCTTCTTCCATCTTCGTGTTGTTGATCAGGAATGTTACATTACGCGCTACGTTAATTGGCATCATGACACAGAGTCTGCCACTTTCTTGCTTATCCAGCAAAATATGTATCAAACGTTCAGCAGTATATGCTTTCTTGTTCCACGAGAATACTGGAGTAAGGGCATCGTCATGGAAGAGAGTCGACTCTGGAAGATGGTTAATCATTGCAAACTTGTTGTCTGAACTACATTCGCTGTTTAAATTAATAATATTTATGAAAATTCATCAAACATACATATAATATATATATATATTCATCAAACAAGACATATGTATGTATAGAGATAGAGTAGTTTTGTATATTGCTTATTTGTGCTTTGCAAAGACCGCTAGATGTTACACAAACGAGTATGAATCAATGACTAATTTATTGTTAGAATTAAGTAGGTATGTACAAGATTGACAGGTTATTATGATATATGATATGTATCTATAGGATACTGGATACAACAAGGAGTGATTATGAGATAGGCTGAACGAGGTTGTTCGATTGGCCTCTTCAGCGTCGCGGCCAATAAAACTCAATGTTTGTTTCTTGTTTTCTCGCTTGGGTGCAAAAACGTTTTTGGTCTTTTGCTTCTTTTTGGATTCTTTGCAAAAAGAAAATTTGAAAATTCAGTTGTTTGGCGGAAAATTTGTTTGGCGGAAGAATGAAAATGCTATTTTCTGACAATCCTGAGACTAAAATTTTCTGACTTTTGTTTGGTCTACAACTTTTCAAGAAATTCTGACTCCAGCACCAATATGAGTGCCCCTTGTTAAGTTTTTAGCAATACAACCATGAATAAGGTTCATTGTGTATGCCAAACATAACGTGTGAACTTACATGGAGATCTCAATGATATATTTTTTGTTAGTATTAGCATTCTACATATATGTGGGTGCTAAGGTTGCTGAATATAATTCACAATACCTAATACTACCATGTTAGTATAACTATACCTTGATCCTTTCTCATCTAATTAACTCTTCTTTTCAGGTGATTCTGCTGACGCATCGCTTCCACTTTTTTCGTCCAAATCTTGCAGGTTGATTAACCAAATTTTATCATTTTTTTCTAATTCAGTATCTGAAATGCATTGTTATTATGAATTGCCATTAATAAATGTACGAAAAAGTTTTCCTTCTGCCACATTTAACATAATTTCAGTAGATTTCATAATTATCCCGTCTTAAATTAAGCCCTTATTTGTTTTGAGTTCATATACTAACCGTCCTCAATAACAGTGTAAGCAGGTGTAGTTTACTTCCCCAGCACCTACATTTATACATGATAAATTAAATTAATATTTCACTAATGTTTGTGTGTTTTTGTTGAAGTATTTATTTATTTTTTATCATAAAATTTGGTGGAAAGCAACCATTATTCCTAAACCAAGTTTTCCACTGCGCAAAGTCGCTAGCCCCGCAAAAAATTCTGAATACTTGTTCTTAACATGTCGCGAAGAACTGAAATGTGAAAAAATTGACCATTTTAGCATTTATACAACAAATACATATGTTTGTCCCTATTAGGCCATCATCTAACTAGATCACTGAACAAAATCTGTTGAATACATGAGTATGACAATTAATTGACAAGAGGTACTAATAGCTAATAGTATACGAGCTAATAACATGCATGAACTGAAAATTACTTGATTCTGATTGCCTAACAGAAGTGCTATTTTTCTGAATACAGTGCCAAAAAAAGTATTTCAGTGCCAAAATCTTTTTTTAAATATGCCAAAAATAATTTTTGACTCCAAACAAAAAAAACACGCTGAATTTTGATCATCTTAGAAAATCTAACTCATCCATATAAATTTATCTCACTTGTCAATGATAACACTTACATTGATCTTAAAATCCACTGCACTAAGAGCATGCCAGAGCGTAGAGTTAAATCTTTAGTCGTAATTACAATGCCATTGCCATCACCTCCGAGTTCTTCACAAATGGGATGTGTATCGACCACAAAGTATGAATTATTGTGCACACCTGCCAAAAACGTGTAGGCGCTACAAGTGTAAAGGCCAACTCAATTTTTTGCTTCTGGCTGTAGCTTAGTTAGCGTAGCAATGAGTTCTTTCCTTCCTGCTTCTGAGAATACGCCATTGGCTGATACGCATTCTTCAGTGAGGTCATAATTTGCTACTAACAGATCATTTGCTTCTAAAACAGATTTGGTTTCTGATGCCTCATACATTTTGTTTGCATCTCTTACATTGTTAATTTTTGAGGGAAGAGTGGTTAAGGCTTCTTCTGCCAGCTCTACCAAGTTTTCACATATGAAATCTTGATTTGCCATTACTGCTTGTAAAAATTCATCGCCTATTGCAACTGGTAAAAAGGCACAAGCGTTAGTTGCATCATTCTCGGGGGTTTGTTCTTCAACACCTTGACTTTCTTCTTCTGCAAATTTTCTTTCACTCGATATTTGACGAGCAAATTCCAAATCAACTGCTTCTAGTGCAGTGTTTTTGCTCATCCGAAGCTTTTTCACACTAAGCGATGATTCAAGATCTTCTCTCCTAATTATACAGAGAACATTCGATGCTGCTGGTCATGAATTTGGCTCGAAATTTGCACACAAATTGAAAATTTTGTCTATTTGCCATCACATGGTCACTCACAAGACTTCGTATTTTGCATCATAATCAGGAAGAATTTGTCCTTGCATAAAATGTTTCATGATGTCCAAATTAAACGCAACACCGAAGCTTTCCGACTCCTTGCGATACAGAGTATTAAGGTTAGGATTTATCATAGCATATGCCAAAATCCCCAAGTACCAGATATCTGCCATTTTCAAGTCATCCTGGCTTGCATTGGTTAACTGACGTGTATGGATTTCAGGGGCCATATAAACCGCTGTACCACAGCATATATCATCCATCCCTTCAACGCAGGACAGATTGAGCGTCCAAAGACCTGCTTAATCCAAAGTCTGCGACCTTGCCGACAATTGGACACTCTGCGTACATTTCAGTAACAAATGTCTTATCCTTGCTATAACAGTAGTGCTGATTGGAAACTAACACATTGCTTGGTTTGAAATCGCTGTGGACAATGTTGTGCCTGTGTAGATAATCCAAGCCAGCCACAGTATCTTTAATGCACACCAGTAAAATATCCGCAAATGCATTGAAATAGAATTTGCCATCAACATAGTAGAAAAAATTGTCCAGATTACACACCACCACCTCGCTGTCAAATGGACTAAAATCAAACCCTGCATATTCCATCATTAAACCATCATCAGAATACCCAAGAAACATTGGTATATTCTCATGCGCAGAAATTCTGCTCAACATTTCAGCTTCCTTCGAGAATTGCTGTTTACGTTCGATAGATTCTCCCTTGAGTTTCTTGACCACAACTTTACAGGCATTAACTCCATAGTTTGCCAAAAACACTGCCAAAACTCCCATAACCTAACTCTTGATGGTCTTTCAACAAATTCCAGTCAAAAGATGGTAAGCCATGACATATTTCGGTCGCTTTACAAGACTTGGAACTCGGAAGCTATTGAATAGACCTGACATAGCAACATCGAAAAATAAAACTACTTTCCCGATTTTTATTTTATTTTCTCTTTAGTTAACATCTGCCAAGACATTGGCACGGAAACTACTAACAAATGCTGTAATTTAGTTTTTCCACAATGCACCATTCAAATTATCTTGAGTTTTACCTAAAATTTCCTTGAAATTTTCTTGATTAACCGAGGATCGGTGGGATCAGCCAGCCAAGCATCCAAACACTTCCGCTTTTATAGTGAACCCTTACGAAAATTTCCTATAGGAATTCCTATAGGAAATCAAAATTCCTATAGGAATTCCTATAGGAATTGAAAATTCCTATAGGAATTCCTATAGGAATTGAAATTTCCTATAGGAATTCCTAAGGCATTGAAAATTCCTATAGGAATTCCTATAGGAATTGAAATTTCCTATAGGAATTCCTATTGGCATTGAAAATTCCTATAGGAATTCCTATAGGAATTGAAAATGGTGAAAAAATTCCTATAGGAAAAAATATTCCTGTAGGAATTCCTATAGGATTGGAAAATGGTTATAGGAATTCCTATAGGAAATGAAAATTTCTATAGGATTTGAAAATGGTGAAAAAAAATCCTATAGGAAATAAAAATTCCTATAGGAATTCTTATAGGATTGGAAAATGGTGGGAAAAATTCATAGCCTATACCACTATGGCCTGATACATGCATGGACATATATAAAAAATTATACAGATAAATATAATTTACGAAATAACTCCTTCCTACAGGAATTTCTATTTCTTATAGGAATTTTTTCACCATTATCATATCCTATAAGAATTCTTATAGGAATTTTAATTTCTTATACAACTACACTATTCCTATATCGTATTTTACTCATAGACATTTATTAATAGAGAATTTAATAGTAATACTGGGACTATTTATTTTCTAAGATTAAATGAATAATTACCGCAATGTGCGCGACTGACAGACTGGTGTCTAGTTTTCTTGCCACGCGCGCAAAGCATCAAGGGATAGATCATCACACCTCCGATATTTTTTGGTTAGCACTATTTTCCATCTAGCAAACCGCCCTGCATTTTTGATTACTTTATACTTTGCATTAATTATCATATCGCATAAATTACATATGTTTATGCTAAATGCTTGCAAGATAAATTAAAGATGGCGGACAACCGTAACACCACTTGGAGGAAAAGAAATTAATTTAAAGAAACCAAAACACATGCATTGATACATAGTGCTTCTGGTAAGTAGTACATTATTTTAGTTGGAGTTACATCAAATCATCAATTTATTAATACGTCCATGCTGTCAATGTAAACTGAAAATGTGCATAAAGGAGCCCTCTTAAGTCTTAATTTTATTTAGGTTTTTATTTCATTTTGTGACCGAACGCACTTCATTAATCTAAGATTACTACTAGTTTAGGTTTTTATTTCATTTTATGTTAAAAGCTTGATTAACTTGTCTCTTGATCAAGTTTATTTTACTCTAGAATGATGAAAATATAAATAGTTGTGGAAATAAAATTAAATATTTTGGATACCAAATGTAAACAAAGCCTTTGTGTACATACGGACTGTACTGCATCTTTAACTTAAATAGTGAAATGCTAGTTGGTAGACTAGCTGTTTAGCAGTTATTCCATTAACCCAAGTCATATATTAGAATAAATCTATCCCGTATATTAGAATAAATCTATCACCGCCAAACGTCCAAAAGACAAAGTCTAAAACCAAGTTGAAGGGCTTGTTACCAAATATGAACCCAAAACTTTCAACCTTGTAGGTGAGAGCTGTAACCTAATACAACAGTGGCATTATTGCTAAAATACTAATACAAAAACCTATTTACATGGTATATTAATTACACTTAGTATGAAATGTCTTGACTAATTAAATGGGCTATTCCATTTAATATCTGCAAACCTGACCCCCCCCCCTTCCCTATTGAGGACATGGTCCACAGCGCTTTTGCCCAGGCAGAGGAATCCAGCCTAATGATATGCTTGCCCATGAGGAATTCCAGTCCGATTGTATGCCTATGCTGAGGAATTCCAGCTTGATAATATGCTTAGTGACCCCTGAGGAATTCAGTCCAAGTATGCCTACCATGAGGAACTCCAGCCTGATAATATAATATCCTTATTCTGAGGAATTTCGGTCTGATAATATGCCTACCCTGAGGAATTCCAGCCAGATAATATGCGTATGATGAGGAATTCCAGGTCGATAATATGCTTACCCTGAGGAATTCCAGTCAGAAAATATGCTTATGCTGAGGAATTCCAGCCCGAGTGAAAACAGCCTACACCTGACGATTTCCAGGCTGGAAATAGTTCCCAGGCCTATGAAAAGTACCAACACCTGAGGATTTCCAGGCTGGAAACCACTTACACCCCAGGTGAGGATTTCC